GAAAGAAAGAAAGAAAGAAAGAAAGAAAGAAAGAAAGAAAGAAAGAAAGAAAGAAAGAAAGAAAGAAAAAGAAAAAGAAAGAAAGAAAGTGTTTCCTTCTTGTGCTTCCATGAGGAACTGAAATTAGGCTGGTGAGGCTGTAGAAAGGGTCACAATGAACAAGAACAGGGAGGAGATGAGGCAGGGACCAGCCCAAGCGTGGTCAGAGAGGGCTCCCTGTAGGAGGCAGCATTCAATTGGGAAGGTAAGACGTCAGGTGAAGGGGTGTAGACCGTCTGGTACAGGGCAGAGAGAGGTCAATGTGGAGGACCAGAAGTTTCTGGAAGGAAACACATGGTCCTAGAGGAACTGAAAAAGGACCAGGAAGCCAGAAATCGAAAGCAAGAAGGACTGTGGTTAGACTTAGGTAGGACCAGCTCTTCCCTGTTTCTGTAAACCATGGTGACATAATTCAGCGTTCTCTGCGAGGGTGGGGGTGGGAGGCCACCAGAAGGTTCTAAGCAGAGGAAGGGTGGGGATTGTCCCATCTGGCACATGGGACAGATTTCACACTTGCTTTGTTTGTATTCCCAGGAGGTGAGAGGTCCCAGTTGTGTTGACTAAGAGCTAGGCCAGCGACAGTGATGGGGACAAGGCTGTGGGACTGGACTGTGACCCATGAGCAGGGGCCCATGAAGCCAGATCACAAGCCATCTTCCAGCACAAACCCCTGAAATGATTCTCTCAATTGCAACCCTAGCACATCAAAGTCAACATGAGTTATGATCACCATCGCTAGAATAAGAGAAATATGCACTTAAGATTGAACTATGGGAGAAAAGAAAACCTTTAGTTGGGTGATGGTGGCATATGCCTTTAATCCCAGCACTTGGGAGGCAGAGGCAGGTGGATCTCTGTGAGTCTGAGGCCGGCCTGGACTACAAATAGAAACCCTGTCTCGAAATTTAAAAAAAAAAGAAAAGAAAAGAAAAGAAAGGAAGAAAGAAAAGGAAAAGAAAACCTTTGTAGCAGTCTCCCTACTTAGGTGGCTCAGCCTGGCTTTGAACTCATGATCCTCCTGCCCCAGCCCCCACCCTCCTGAGTACTGGGATTGCATCAGCACATTTTTGCTGAACCAAGAGCTTTGTATTCTTCCACTGACTTATACCTCCGACCCCTAAGACCTTCAAGGCTGTTGAGGAACTCTCAATGTAGTCCAGGCTGGCCTTGAACTCACAGATACTCCCTTCCCTCTGCCTCTTGAGTGCTGGGATTAAAGGCTACGGTTTACAGTTTTAACAGCTGAAATTATGTTTGCGGCTGGTCCTGTTCAAAGCGTCTTATCTGCACCAGCTGCCCAGCTGCCGAGCCCTCCCCACACCCGCGACACAGACGCTGTTATTTAACCCCTTCTAGACAGGCTGCGGAAGCTTGGTGTTCTGGCTCGTCTTGAGTCAACTGACACAAGCTAGAGTCATCTGAAAGAAGGGAACCTCATTTGAGAAAATGCTTCCATTAGACCTGCATGTAGGGATTTTCCTAATCAGTGACTGATGGGGGAGGGCCCAGCCCACTGCGGGTGGTGCCATCCCTGGGCTGGTGGTCCTGGGTTCTGTAAGAAAGCAGGCTGAGCAAGCCATGGGGAGCAAGCCAGTAAGCAGCTCCCCTCCATGGCCTCTGCATCGGCTCCCGCCTCCGGGTTCCTGTCCTGTTTGAGTTCCTGTCCTCACTGCTTTTAATGATGAACTGTTATATGGAACTGTGAGTGAAATAAACCCTTTCTCCTCCCGGAGTTGCTTTTGGTCACTGTGTTTTATCACAGCCACAGCGACCCTAACTAAGACACCTAGTGACTTACGAACCACGG